TTGATTTAAGAAATGAAAATAATTTAATCAAGATAAACATAACATTTATGTTCTTTTTATTATAGCCAAAATTACACTGGTATTAGTTTTGGTCCTAGATTATGTATTAGATATTGTATTTATGAGTATTAACAGGAATATAGGGAATATAGGAGATGGATAATTAATGGATTTTTTTCACTGCAAGTATTAAATTCTTGTGTAGCAACTAGCTTTAAAGGACTCTTAATTCTATAGCTTATCTTATTTGGAAATTGTTTTAAACATCATGATAAATGATGAACTTTTTTAGTAGAAGAAAGCATATTTATGAAGAAATATGTTTCAGAGATAACATCCTGTTCAACAATAACACTAAACACGTGAAATGGTTAATATAGTGTTGCTAAGATCCATCTAACACTTTTCCAAACCTTAAATCCTATGTACTTAATTAGGAGTATACAGGGGAGGACATTTTTAAGAATTCAACATTAGAGGAGGGTATTATATTCATTGTAATTAAAGAGCACTTAATCTCATGTTATGTAGGAATGTAAGTCCTGTTTTATGTGTGTTACTGTTGAAGGGACAGAAGTTTGTGGTCAACTGTAGTTAAAATTGTAAGGAAGCTCCTTTTGAATAAGGTATAGAATTTCCCCATTATTTTTGAAATTGTAACACATTAATCAAAATAATGTCCAGTGAATTTCATGATATTTGTCATGGAAATTGCTTGTATTAAGGTGTATATTTTCATATGTGAGACTTCTCTAAAGATTTGCTTTAATATGTTAAATATCACAGATTTCATGAAGATTGTTCATACACTTCAGATAGTTATCTTATAATATTTTACTCTTTAGAATATTAAGTATTGGAGTTTATTGTTATCCTTATTATGGGAGTTTAATGACTTTTTTTGGTAGAATTTTTTTAGTGGAATTCAGTTAAGAGAAAAAATAGTGCTTTAAGGTAACATATTGGGAAGTTTCTACCTAAATTAGCATTGGTTTTGCTAGCACCATTTAATAAAGTCTTACATGGTAAATGACTAGAAAAAATGATGCTTTGTATTTACAGTTTTATTATTCAGAGGAGGGATTTTTTTTTTTTTCATATTGAAGGTATTTGTCTATTTGACCATATGTGTAATATTTTTGAAGAGACACTGTAGAGGTAGAATAACTGTTCTAGTGAACCTTTTATGTAAAAATATCTCTGAAGACTTTTTTCTTAGCTAATAGCATTTGTACTCTTAATGCTTTTGAGGAGCTTTGGTATGACCTCTCTATTGACTCAGAGTTGTCACCTTTTAGTGTCCTGGGACAAGGGTTAGAACAGCATGGGAGGTTGGTATTTGTATACTTTGGAGAGGAATTTGAGATGCTACCCTGTTTTGCCATCAGTTTTAAAGTATGCACGGGTGCATCATTAATCATAGGAAATGCAAAAATAAATAATAATTCAGTCCGATTTGATTTTTTAAATATGAATACTTACCTTTTCCCTTTTTTGTGTATACAGTTGAGGTATTTAGGTAACCCCTAACCTTTTGCTTCAACAAAGAAGTACAGTATAAAAATATTACCACAGTTTTCATGTGAGCAGCTCTTGAGAGGGAAAAAAGCTCTCTAGATGAATATTTGTTGAAAAAAACAGTTGTGATACAGAATGTCTTAACTTAGCCCCAATACAGTACTTGAGGACCACCAGTGTATAAAATTGAAAGCATATGATTTTTGAAGCACTAGAAAAGGTTTGTAATTGATTAGCGCTGGTTGAGAGTATTGAAGTACAGTGAGTTTTGATTTGTGAATGGTTCTATTCAATAAAGATTAATTCTGTGTGTTTGATAAAATCTTAGTGCCTTCAATGAGTTAGCTTTCCCCCCCTCTGCAGTTTATTTAACCATCAAATATTTCAGTGTTGTTTTAACAAACTGGAACATTTCTATCTTACTGAATTTAACTTTAGCATGACTGATTTAAACAAGTCAAACTATCAGTGATTAGTTTGAAGGGTGTAATTGAATATATTAATTTTTTATTTAAAAAATAACTAAAATATATAATCATGTATATTTCATGCCTTCCTTGTGATTTAGAGACTACCAGAAGGTTCATGTAGATTAATAAAATATTTTTGTGCAATTTCTTTGAGATATTTTACATTTTAATGTAGTTCTGAAATTTAAATGTGAAATCTAACAATCTTTCATGTAAAATTAGGATTTTTTTTATAATTTAAAAGAATTTGTAATATGAGTTTTGGGGAATTACATAGATATTTTTAGCTTTTAATATGTGTTGGAGTGGTCTTCTGTGTTTGTTCTTGACTTTTTAAAATTATCTCCCTGGATTTTGGAATTATTTTGGAAGCAAGTTGTGACACTTTGTCACTGTTAAATCTTGAGACTAAAATTACCGTCATTGGTATGGACCACAACTATTATTTTGGAAACCAGTGTTCACACATTATGTTCAGTCAGTCACTATGGTCAGTTACAATGGTTTTATGTAGAAATTTTAATCAGTCAACTTATATATTTTCATAAATAAGTTCTTAATTGTAATATACTCTGTGAGTCACATCTGTTACTTTCAACAGACTTCATGATAAATAATGGGCTTATTTTGAGTAGTACACATTGAAGATTCTTGTTTAACTCAAATGAATGATAAGCTGAGAGAGCAAGGACACTGAGACACGTCTGTCTCCGCGTCTGTCTTTCTCTCTCACCCTTTTCACTCCTGTTTGCGCTGAGGCCACGGGTTGGGGTGTGCTTTGTCTCTCACCTAGGAAAAGCCTAAACTTTAAAAATTTTTTTCACAAAATTACAACACATACTTTTGACATTTCACTTGGTTGTTTTGATAATTATCTAAAAGAATTTAAAACCTGAAGTGAGGTTTTTGACTTCAAATAGATTATAGATTGGTGAAATGTTTGCAGTGTGATCATAACCTATACATTATGTCCACTACCCACTCACCTGTAATTTGTTCGGTGTAGTGGGTTCGTCTTAAATCTCTATCCAGGCTTTAAAGTATTATTTCAGGTTGGGAGAGGATAAATTCCACTTTCCAGAAAAAGAAGAATTGTTATGTTGTCTAAAATATATATGACATTCGATAGAAGATTATCTTTATTTAGTTCACTGTAGTGCCTTGTTGTTTTAGAAATTGGTCAAGTTTTAGAAATTTTACTATAGAAATAGTTACTAAGGGTGTCACAGAAATGTAAGACTGCTCATACGATAGAATAAACAGCATTTCAACATATTCTTTGTGACAGTTTAATAACTTGTAATGATGAAACTTGTGTTGTTCCCTATCTGGGTAGAAAAACGTATATATATTTTAAACAGTGTAACTTTTTGCGGTGCCTGTTTTAAGTTATCCCTCCATATAACAATAGTTTTAGCCATTTTCCCCTCATCTCTTGGATAGAAACGGCAAAAGTTTTCATGTATAAGCTATAATTATGATATGGGCTGCAATGCAGTCTAGCTGTATCTATGTTCTGCTTTCTTAATGCAGAAAAATGTAGAGTAACACTTATTAACTACCATTAAACTAAAAAAATAATCTGTGACTATTATACTGTAGGTGCTGTAACTGAGGGGGCCCACTTACAACTATTGAAGGAGTCACTACAGCAATTTTACTTTGTTTTTGTAAAATACAAAGTACATTTCCTCACCCTTTTAAGAGAAACCTTTTTCTCTCCTTCAAGTTTATTTCTCTTTGACCTAAACTAAGACTGATCCTCTGATAGCCAGTTAAAATGTGTGAAGTAGGAGGAGTAAAGGAAACTCCAATCGTTAGTTGTAAGTTATAAAGCAAAGTTAATATAGGTATACCCAGCAAAAGGATTTATTTTAAAGGATAAAAGAAAATTTTATAAACTTGCCTTGTAGTTGGAACATGTTGGACATCATAAAGAAAATCTTGTAAGTGTTTAGATATTTTACTATAATACCGTGTCAGCTGATAAATGTTGAAGTAGTTTTTGTGTATCAGCACTAACTTGAAATTAAATATTAAGGGACTATATTATGGCTGTTTTCTTTAAAAGTCCAGCGTGATTTAGTAGGTATGGCTCTTTTAAATCATGCACAGTATCCTTACGGAGTTTTATTTTTTCATGAGAGTAAACGGTATTCATTTTGGTAGGTCCAAGAATATGATTAAAAGAATCCTAGTCGTCTCAATGTTTGCTCTGTTTTTATAACAAGTTCTACATATGGATAATAGTGTAGATGTAAAGTTAAAATTATATAGAAAAGCACAATTGCATATAAGTTTTTAAAGACTTCTGTAAACTTTTAAATATCCCGGTTAACTATAAAGATCTTTTAAAAATGGCTATTACATACTTAACAATTTTATTTCAGTTTGAATATATGCTTCAGTTATATCAAGTTGCTTAGAAAGTTATGCAAGTAGCTTATGATATGATGCAGTCTAAAATTACAAATAGATTTCTTGTAGTCGAACTGGTTAAAATGTTAACTGTACTGCAGGTTTATTTCTCTATTTTACATGGTAGACCATAATGTCGAGATAATTCTGTAGTTTGTTATTTTGTAAAATTGCTTCCTTTTTAAAGTTTACTCAAATATTGGGAGCTGCTGGAGTGAATACTTCATAATACTTTGATTAATTTCGTGTCTAATTTTATTTCAGTAAGGGTTAATGAGAATATTAAACTTTTTTTTTATTGTTTTAACTACCTCATTTCTGTAACTCTAAAAAACATTTTGACTAATGTGAGATCATTTAATTTTTTTTTCTATTTCAGGTCATTATTCCGAGAAGTAGATAAGTTACAGATGACAAATGCAAATATGTACAGCAATTTCATTTTTCAACTTTTAGCGCAACAAAATAGCATTGTTACTATGATCTTTAATATAATGTTATCCGGAAAAGCTAACATTTAGTTTATCCAAGAAACATACCTTTATGTTTAACAGGTTCATCTCTTACAGGATTTTAAAATATGGTAACACTTACCCCAAAAGAAGTTTTGCTGACATGGTGTCACTGTGCTGAAGAGGCTGTTTGATGCCATAGTCCCTCCTTTTTTTTTCAGATAGAACTTGTACCCTCTGTTGTAAATTCTGCTTGCAGCCTTAAACTGAAAATACAAACCATACCCAAACCTTGTTTTAGTTTTACAGTATGCCTGGAGTACATAGACTTTATATTTATTTTTTTCTGTCAAGAAATTATGTAGCTGGTAACATGTGAAAAGCAAGGAAACAAAACAAAAAGAGAATGAGCAAATATTTGAAGGACCTACTATTACTGCATAGACTGTGGTTAGAGAGCACTCACTGACTCTGTTGGTCTCGGTGGCTGGTAGTGACCTGCGGAGATTAACCATTTAAAAACCAGAGACTTCTTGCTGTCCTCCTGGAGAAAGTTTGCACCGCACTTGTGGTTCTGTGGTTGTTTGTGAGGCGAATGAAGCATTCACACAATCCAAAAAAGCAAAAGCTTTAAAACTCCTTTTTTTGCAAGCACTATTACTGGAGAGACAGAATCATGTGGTTTGTGACCTCACAGTGCTCAAAGTAAAGTGGGACTGCCTACCACTGTGGCTTTTCCCCCCTTGCTCTTGCTCTGTCTTTCTCTCTCTCTCTCTGACAAAAGGCTTGTGGTAAGGCCCTTCCTGGCATCCAGAAGGATATAGCTATTTAATTTTTGTGACTCATGAGGATTTGGATAGAATACAAATGCTGAAGGAGCTCAAACTCCTGTAAGGTTAAGCATTTGTAGAGCAGAAATCTGCAGTTAAGGGCTTTCCTTTCCATCTCCCCCACCCCCACTTTTTTTTTTTTTTTTTTTTGCCTCCTCCTTTTATTTAGTTCATTATTGTGTCTGTGGAAAAGTGAGCAAAATTGGCTCAAGAGGCTGTGTGAAATTCTGAACAACAGTGATGATTTACAATAATTTACATCTTTGGATTGTATCACATTCTGGGGTCTGCTTCATATTTGCTGGGTGATTGGAGTCCTTCTGTTTTTCTTTTTCCTGTCTTCTCAAACTTGTGAATCTGTAACTCATTGTAAAAAAGTTTACCTTTCTTAAGGTCTGGTTGCAAACTGCTTGCTGGGCTTGACTGTAATTGGCTGTCATGAAAGTGTTAGTCTGGGGATTCCTTTGACAAATGTTAAATCATGTCTGTCTAGTTTATGTGTGATCAATATTAGATGCCGGCTCCTGCAATAAGGATTAAATGTAATTAGTAGCATTTATATTATTTATACCTTTCTTTTATGGCTAGTTTGAGGATTTATAAAACTCAATGACAAGAATTATAACTGATTATTGGCTGAATTTTAGTTTTCTTTATGCGGTAATGATTTTTATTTTTCAAGGAATTGTATTCATTTTGTGTAATTTATTAAATAGTTTATTTGGATTTTAACAGAACCTTTGATAGCAAATCTTATACATGTATAAAGTAAAATTTTTATGTTGTAACTTAGGTTGTTCAATGTTAGATTTTATAAGCTCAGAATAGAGTGGGTTAACAGAAGCTGTATTTTTTGTTTATAATGAAAGCTTTGAAATAAATTGCAAAATGCTGTGTGTAGCAAGAAATAATGCACACAGACAGAGTGTGTTAGTGGTCTCGATTTGCTAATTCTGATTCAGAAGAAAATTGGAAACATCTTTGGGAAACTATCTCCTTTTTTGCCCCTTTGGACATGTATGTATAGAACTCATTTTCTTATTAGGATGATTATATATCATAGGCAGAGAATTTCATATTTATGAATAGAGCTTCCTGTTTTCATCAGTTGGGAGCGATGGGGTATTTTTCAACAAAAATTATAAAGCCGAACAGACCAATTTTCTAGGCATTTTTTTCCATTTATCAGCCACTCTGAATTTGCATGTTAGACTTCTTCCTAGTGTGATAGTAACTAGGAGTGGCATGAAGTAAATGACTGGGAGGGTGGGTGGAGACTGTGAATTACAAAGCATTATTTGAGGTAGATAATGGGGTAAGGGCTGGGAAACACTAAGGAGGGTGTTAGGGCCAAAATGTCCTTGCCTGTGGATTCCCTAGCACAGTTTATTATCTGCTTTTGGTTTATATTAGATAAAGATAAATGTACAGACATGCTCATAAATTCCTTCACACAAAAAAATTGATTTGCCCAAAATACTCAGGGAGGACATGGGAATGATTTTAATCCTTTATTATCAAATGTCCAGAACTTTTCTATAACAAACTTTTAGTGATAAAACACCAGAAATGCATTTTAGTGTTTCATTTTAAATATAGGCTTATGCCTCATTGTGTATGTAAACATATTTTATATTGAAAAGTAAAAGCTTTCATTTAACATATGAAAGAGAAAAGTTATTTATTCTTTTGAATAAATAAGGTGTACTGGTATGATCTATATCTAAAGGAGGGCTTTGTCTAGTAATTTGTGGGATTTCCAACCATAGTTCCACATGCACATACAATAGCAGCAGAATCAGGCAATTGGAAAAATTTAGGTAGCCTCTGTCGTATGGTAAATAAGTGGTTTTCTTCTTTTAGATGAGTTTTTAATGTCTGTATAAGAATTCTCTGATGTATTACCACCACAACTACTAGCCAAATATTTTCTCCCTTACATTTAAAAAAAATTATGTGCACTTTGACCCTTCAAACTGACTTTGTAAGCATTTGAATGATTTTTAACATCTATGTATCTCTTAACTGCTTGTTCTCTTTTTGCAGGTAACCCTCCTGCACATTATTTTTGGGTCAGGATAATTACTCATATTACATAAGAGTTTAATAGATGTTGTTGAATATACCCTTTCTGTTTTGTGTGAGGCCCATCAAATTATGCCAGGAGAAAGATAGTGAAGTCCTGTGCTTTAAAGTCTGTATGTTTATTATCCACACATTTTTTCCCCCCTAAATTGAAAATGTAACCACTTTGGAACAAATATGCTTTGTGGTAAAAATTAAAAAACAACAGTGATAACTGGTACATATATGATAATTGACAGTTTGTTTCATTAGAGGTAGCTTACCACATGTGATGAAGAGAGATTGACTCAGAAAAGTCACTGCAAATAAAGCTCTTGATATGGATTTATACGATGCTTAAAATGAGAAATGGAAACCACAGGTTTTTTTTATTGTTGTTCTTCAAAGACCCTCAAAAATTTATTTTGGGGGATTATGTTAGTATTTGCTATATTGATGTAAGTAACAAGTTTAGGCCTGCTTTATAAATTATGTACTTTAATGCCATGGAAGTGAAATGCACCTTTGAACTCGAAATCAATGTCAAAAAGTAAAGATGTTAGTTATCTTGCTCATTCATTACGTTATGTTTACTAAATTTGTCAACATTGGTCAAACTCATATTGCATGCTGTTAGACGATATAACAGTATAATAGTGTTTTAAATGCTATGTATATCTACATTGCTGTCTTTTGAATTATTTTTTATTTCTTGAACTAATGATCCTATTTAGATGCAGTAGTTTTATCAGTATCAAGATTTTGCTTGTTTCTCTGAGTTTTTTTTTATTGTTTTAATTTCTATTTGGTGCTGTTCTATTTTTCTTTTAATTGATAAGAATAGGGCCAAATGGTTTCATGTAGGAATTTTATAAATTGTAGAAATTCTAATTTGGCTTAAAATTTCCTCACTGATAATGAGATTTTAGGAAGACACTTTCTTCATTTGTTGTTTCAGCTTGGTTTATGACAATTTATTTTGGACAATCTCTTTTTTTGGATTTGATGTATAGCTATTTAAGCTGGCGTAGCCTTTATTGGGCCTTATATTGATGATTTGAAAATTTTTATATTAGTGAAATACATATCATTAGTATTTTAAATCATAAGACTAAGAGATTAGTTTTCCTTCCTTATTTTAATTGGGTATGTGTCTGTGTACACAACTGTATGTACATGTCTGTGGTTGTGTGTATACAGGGTATTATTTTGTGTTACTTTTTGTAAAAAGTATTTTTTCTGTTATATTTTTCCTCCTCAGTTTATTTTAATTAAATTATGTGAAAACCCAAAACACCACCATGTCCACGAATACTTTAACGACTTCATTTGGTTAGTATTAGCAGCTGTCTGTCTAAATGTGAGATTACGTGGAAATGGGATGCCAAAAGAGAAAATACTAAATTTTTCTCTCTCCCTTTCACTCCCCCTCTCTTTTCCCCTTTTTCTTCCCTCCTTTCCTTCCTCTCTTCTCTAGTTTTTTTTCAGTTTCTTTTTCTCTGTTTTGATATTTCTATAGTGTCTCAAAGTAGTTTCTTAAGGTTCTAGTAGTGGATATTGACATTAATTCTCATTAATGAATACCTGGCAGGTTTGAAGCACCTAAGTTTTCAAGGCAAATCATTGTTATGTCTACACTGTTATATGTACACCTCATTTGTTAGATGGTATTGGTATCTAATTACAATGATTTTCTTCCTTTTAACAGTTTTAATTCCTTCCTCTATGTTAACTTACTTTAACATTGTTTCATATGACATTGACACTTTAATTATGAGGATTTGTTTTTTTTCCCCTTTGACTATTCTTCGAAGTGCAGAGTGATCCATACTTGTGTAATGTAGCTGTATAAATAATTCATGTTTCTTATGATTATTAGAACAATTCATCTTCTAATGCTGTCATTTTTCTAGGAAGAAAAAAGGTGAGAACTTGCAGAAAATATGGGAAACATGCTCATATGACAGCTGAGGATGTGGCTAGGCTAAAGCAGGAAACTACTACCCACAATGCAATGTTACATATACTACCACTTAATAAAATTTATATCAAACATGCTACTGACAAAACCAAAGAAAAATAATATCCCAACTCTACTAGTTAATGTACTAAATATATCTAGGGAAAAGTGAAACTAATCTTTTTGGAACCTATGTATTTAGAGAATATAGTAAATGAAACGGGCATCATAGTACATTGGAGCTCTGTGGTAACTTTGCCTTTGTGCTGTGGGACTTGGTTGTAGGTAAAACTGTCTTATACAGAGAACCTTTTGGATATTAACTTTCCTGGAAAACACGCAGAGGGCACCCTCTTTCTTTGTTAATTGAATTGTTGCAGTATTAAATAGGGCTAGAGGACATTGTCATCTGGTAGGGAAAATAAGTTAAATTAATGAGACATTCATCATGATTATTTAAACTTTTTACCCAGCCAGGTATATTTCTTTCCATTTTGGTTTAAGTTGTCTTTTATTGCCAGGTTTGAGGTAGGGCTTGAATTGTCTGCTGAGGCATATTTCTTTTCAAAGTAATTGTTTTTCTTGGTCTTTTTATTTATGTTAACCTACCTATAGCTTACCTGATCAATTCATATACTTTATTGTAGGGAGGGTTAGTCTAAAGCAAAAATGTAAACTGCTTTTATAATGTGGTTGAAAAAGATATTATGGTATCTTCTAAAAAGTCAGATTTTAATATACTTAGGGTTTCTGTTTATAAATCTTAATCTTCTGTGCTCTTAGCTGTCAGACTATAGCAATTTTGATGAATTTAGTACCTTAGTAATTGAGGTGAATTATGAGGCTTTACAAGGGAGATTTAAGTAAGGGAACATAGTAGAGTTTTGAACTGATAAATAATGTATAGAAATGTTATCAGAGGAAGAATTGGAAGGGCTATTAAATTAGTATTGCTTATGAAAGATACCCTCTTAGTATTCTAGTGTATAAATTACCTCTGTGTCAGACCTGCCATGGTATTTGTCATCTCATCATTTAAAGATTAATATATTGTCTCTCAGTCTATATCTTTATTAAGGATGATTTGCTTAATTGTTTGAAGTATTTTCTCCTTCAGAGACTGCTTATCAATACCAGCTGTAGCACTGTGGCTTTTCTCCATGGACTCATGGTGGTCTTTGGAACAACGTTCTTCAACTTTGACAGGTGAGACGGAGGCTCTCCAGTGCCACTGCTTTTGGATGAATCTAGCTGTGGTTGGAGAGAGTGCATCTTGCCAAAATATATGGGTGAGACCACACACAGCCTTTAAAATAGTTATTGTAGGCTTATTTTTAGGGATACATGTCTTGACAGTTCTTTTATTTGCATGCCAATTTCATTGCTGTGTATAGATTTTTCATTGGTTTCAGTAAAGGCAATTGCGAATTTAGGTCTTTATTTGTTAAGCCTTGTGTATAGTTTACACTGGAAAATACTCCTGAATTCAGAAATAATTAACAATATAGAAAATATATTGAAAATGAATCACTAGAATACTGATCTTTTTGTTTTTATAAATTTGACAGTATTCCCTTTGGAAATCTCAATTTCCCAGACAGTTTAGTAGTCAAAAATTGCTCCAATTTGAACTTTAAGATCAAATAAATTAGGAAAGAATGTTAAAATATTCATATTACTTCAATTACATTAATAGTAAAAAATTTGTGGTTCTTGTTATTCAGAAGTACATTTTTTTAATAATATTGATACAATAAAGTATTGTTCAAAATGTAAGTTTTACACTTTAGTAAAAGCTTGAAAGCATCGAAACAAATGGCCAGAGAAGTCAATTTCTTAATGCATAATTATAATATGCAAGCCATCTAGCCTTTTTATGGGATGATTAAAACTTTATTCAACTTAGTGAACTGTAAAATTGACTGTATATTTAAAAATAGTATGTTTAGTCTTCTAAAACTGGCTTTCTCAATAAGAGCTCTCTTTAGACCTTTATAAAATGCTTCTTTTTATAAAATACATTTGTATAATTATTCATGATCTTAGGTTGTTAGTGATAATATTAAAGCTTTACTTCTTGAGCCTTGGCAGGTAATTAGTTAGAAGACTTTTTACTTGATGATCAATGAATGTTGGTTAGTTATATGTATATAAAAAATTGTTTCCAGCTAAGATAAGATTACAGTTTCATTCTAGATATTTTCATAGGGAAAACAGAATCTACCGAAATAACTGGAAATTCAGTTTTCTCTCCACTATTATCGCAGTGCCCTTCCATAGCTGAATGATTCTGGCAAGAAAGTCCTGGGGAAATTGTGTTCCTACAGCTTTTCCAGAGAACAAGTTGTGGAAAGAAGAGAGAACATAGTATAGACAAAAAAATTACCTAAAGCAGTGGTTCTCAACCTTCCTAATGCCATGACCCTTTAATACAGTTCCTCATGTTGTGGTGACCCCCAACCATAAAATTACTTTCATTGCTACTTCATAACTGTAATTTTGCTTCTGTTATGTCTTAGGTGACCCCAGTGAAAGGGTCATTGGACCCCCAAAGGGGTCATGACCCACAGGTTGAGAACTGCTGGTCTAAAGAAAAATTTGGCCCTTGCCTTTCAGAAATTGGTCATGTATGTGAGCCTTGATGGATGTTAGATTTTTTAGAAAGTTTTATAAGTTACTTTTAGGATATTTGAGGAAACTGGCTATCAGTGATAGTATTATTTATTAAGTGTGAAATATCCTTATTAAAAAAGGTACATGGTGAATTATTTTCATGAAATTAGTACCATGATTAAACAAATACATACATAAAACAAATGTGGCATATGTTAACAATTGGTGAATCCAGGCAAACGCTATAGACATTGATTTCACTATTTTTCACCGTAAACAGTGAATTCTGAAAGGTGAAGCATTTTGTGGAAAAGGTGTATAGAAATTTGGTTTTAGAGTGAAATCAGATAATTGTGAAAATTTATTTATTTGAATAGTTTAAAAAAAAAAGTGAATATGAACAGCCTGGGTTATACATAGCAATTTTAGATTTTAGTTTCTAGTTGTATTTTTTACATTTATGTTCTATTCACTGTAAAACAACTAATTTTCACAAATTTATATGTGGCAAATATAAATTGGAAATAGTAAAATATTTTTGAAAATGCCAGCTTTTAAAAGTTTACATTTGTATTACAGTAACTCAGGTATAGATCAATAAACTAGAAATTTCTAGAGAATCAAAACAGTCATGTTATTTCTTGTCATTTGTTTATTCTTAACTGGATCTTTTAAAAATAGAGGGTGGGGCAAAAATAGCTTTACTGTTGTTTATATGGAAAATAATACAATAATTAATAAATAATAATAAACTCTGTGTTTCATGTACTCACAACTGTAAACCTACCTTTGCCCCATCCTGTATGTAAAAAAAATACCTTAAAAATTTAATTCACATTAAATTCTTTCTACTGAGTCATACTACTGCTACTAAACTGTTTATATGCTATTCAATTCAAGTGTACTCTTTCAAGAAGTATTTTAATGAGCAGAAGCCTGTATCTCTCTATGCAAATTATTAATTCTGAATTTGTATTTTACTTGTCAATATCCTATGGAAGTCTGTACATTTTTTTTCTGTAGAGGGCCAAACAGTAAATATTTTGGCCTTGTGGGACACAGAGTCTCTGTTCACTACTCAACTCTGTTACTGCAATCTGAAAGCAGACAGTAAGTAAATTAGACAAGTGAATGGGTGTGGCTGTGTTCCAGTAAAACTTTATAAACAGGCAGCTGGCCTGCTGTATTTTGCCCACTCTTGCCACCTGTACTTCATATATAGAAATTTGTGGCCCATTGGATAATTCTTTTTTATAGAAAAGGCAAGACAATTTGAAAAATGATCAAACTTATAATTTACATATTATAATGGTATTTTTTCTTAAAGTATTTATAAAATCTGTTTTTATTGTTATGTGAAAGATGACATCTGTCGTGCTTCATAACTGTTGAATAGTGCAATTTCATCTTGATCGTGTAATTATTAAGTATTGTGAATAGTTTTATAAGCTACTTTAAAATCTTTTTAGGGATAAGGTTGGAATACAAATAAATGATCTTGATTATAGTGTATTTCCAAATTATCATAAATCTCAGAATTTATCTAGTTGTCCATTATTATCAATAAAGATATAAGATTTCTTTTATCCACAGAAATGTTTTCTTTTTCGAAATAAACTGGGTTTAATGCCCAAGCATAAAATATTTAATAGTTATTGTGATAAGATATTTCCCTTCTTTTTCATTTATATTTGAATCAAATTTGAGTAGAAAAGGAATTATTTTTGGTATTACATAATCTCCAGAACATCATTGCACTCACATTTGAATTAATATCCAAAATAAATTAGTTTTCTGAGAATTCACCTACATTAGGTAGAGTATTATTTATTGGATGATGGCGATGGTTACATCAATTTAGCAGGTAAATAAGTATTTTTTAGTTGGTAAAGAGCAAATGAACCTATATCCTGATCTGAATTTGAGACCTTTAGTGTATTAATACTTAAGGTTTTAAATGAGCTGTAGGTAAATGATACGGGTTTAAGCAAAAGTTCACAGTTCATATTATTGAAAACCTTATTTTTATTTATGGTCATGTTAAGCAACTCCAGTTATTATACACATAGCTAGGAATTGGACAGTTAGTTTCATAATTTCATCACAAAAGAGCAATCTTTCTCCCTTGTGTCTCCCTTGGTTATTGCCTGTTTGCCTTCATTTATGATAAAATTCTAACATGATTGTTTTTATACCTCTCCTATTTATTTAATATTTAGTTATAAAACAGACACATAAATCACTGTAAGTAAGAAGGACAGTCTGCCTGGGAAGGCAACACACAAAAAATTAATGTATTGAAACTCAAAAAGCATTATTTAGGGTCATTTAATGTAAGTTAAGCCTGCCCTATCTACATTAATTGATTTAAAAAAGAACCACTGTGTTGTAGCAATTTAATAAAGTAGTTGACAGGAGGAATATTACATACTTTGCTTAAAAATATAAGGAAATATTTAATATTTATGTAGGAAAGATTTTCATCCAAAATTGATAAATTAAAAAGAGTTTTGGCATTTAATATTATAATGCTCATTTAGTAGGAGAATTAACCTTTGAGGACTGGAATCTGGCCCAAAAATTAATGGTTAAATACAGACTATTTATTATATTTTGTTATCTCTTTGTATTGTTTAAATTTCTAGGACTGTTGTCTTTTGTACCTATCAATCCATTAAAAAATTAAGAATTCTAAAGATTGCATATTTCTGAAAGAACTTATGCATTATCAATATAGTTGATGAATATAGCAGAACTGTTATATAGTATTTTAACTGCATGCAATCATGATAAAGTTTAATACTGAAAATGTAAAAAAGAATCATTTAAAAAAAATGTACAGGCTTTATCTTTTCAGCAGTTTTAATTTTATAGAATAATTTAGCAGAAAGTACAGAAAGTTTCATTATACCCCCAGCCCTTAGTTTCCTTATTATTAATATCTTGCACTAGTGTCCTACATTTGTTATAATTAGCCCAATATTGATACATTATTGTTAACTAGTCAGTAGTTTACATTAGGAGTCATTCTTTATGTTGTGCAGTTCTGTAGGTTGTGTCAAATGCATAATTTTATATACGTACTATTGTAGTATCATACAGAATAGTTTTTTCTAAAAATCCCCATAAAATTTTGTTTAGCTCTAACATAAAACATCTCAACTGTTTTAGCAACTGGTCTTTGTACTCTATATATATTCACTTAAGGATTCTCCATGTCTTTTTTTTTGGCTTAATAACTAATTTCTTTTTTACTGCTGGATAATATGTCATTGTATGGATATACTACAGTTTATTTATATGTTCACCTAATTGAAGGACATCTCAGTTGCTTTCAGTTTCTGGGAATTATAAATAAAGCTACTATAAATAATAATGCAGGTTTTTGAGTGGACCTAACTTTTTTCACTCGGTTGAGTAAATACTTAGGAGCACTAGCTATATTGTTTGGTAAGACTATGATTAACTTTGTAAGAAACTTCCCAATGTCCAAAGTGGCTGTATCATTTTACATTCACACCAGTAATGAATGAGAGCTCTTGTTGCTCCACATTATTGCTAGGATTTGCTTTTCTCCGTTTTTGTATTTCATC